CAGATGCTCAGGTGCCTGCAGACCCCCCTGGACAAACTCTCCATAACAAATTGCCAGCGCTGACGCATTCAGACCTGACACGCCTGTTCCAGTGCCCGAACCTCAGGCAGCTGAAGTCCCTGCATCTATTTGGCCTCAGCCTAGCGGATTTTAGTCCCGAGCCCCTCCGAGCTCTGCTGGAGGCAGTGGCACCCACCCTCCAGGACCTGGGCCTGGATAACTGTGCGATGGTGGACTCTCAAGTCGAGGCCATCCTGCCTGTCCTGAGCCGCTGTCACCAGCTCAGGGACTTCACCATCCCTGAGAACCCCCTCTCCGTGGCCACCGTGGAGAAGCTGCTGCGTCACACAGCCGGGCTGCGCAGTTTAGAGCTCGAGTTGTACCCCGTCCCCCTGGAGTGTTACAGGATCCAAGGGACTGTCAACAAGGAGAGACTTGCCCTGATCCGGGCTGAGCTCACGGGGATACTGAGGGAGTTAGGACAGCCCAGGACCATCTTTCTTGGCACCAAGTACTGTCACAAATGTGGCAAAAGTAAAGTTTATGAGGTGGAGTTTTCATGACATGGAGCCGTGCTGTGCCCCTGTAATGACCCTGCTCAGTGGGAACACTCAGCTAAAGCTTTGTTCTGGGCCCCTGGAAGCTGGAATATAGAACCGGGTGCATTATGGGGGGGCACCCCATTCCAGATTCATGCTCCTGTGAATGGGGAAAGGAAGGGACCAAGCCCAGGTCCACGATTACAGGAGCAAATGTTGGGGAGTTCATGGGACCTCAGGGGGCAAGTGTCCTAGAATCAGAAATATGAATCTGATTTGCATGGGGAGGTGGGAGGGGTATTTGGGCTCCAGCTGCATGTGTGGGAGTTAATCCTGAGGTGGATGATTGTAAAGGAATGATCAGAAATAAAGACAATTTTAAAGGCAAAAAAAAAAAAAAAGATTCTCTCTTTGTCTTTTGCCCTTGGCATTTTAATTATGATGTGTCTTGGTGTGGTCCTCTTTGGATTCCTCTTGTTTGGGGTTCTCTGCGCTTCCCGGACTTGTAAGTCTATTTCTTTCACCAGGTAGGGGAAGTTTTCTGTCATTATTTCTTCAAATAGGTTTTCAATATCTTGCTCTCTCTCTTCTTCTGGCACCCCCATAATTCGGATGTTGGTATGCTTGAAGTTGTCCCAGAGGCTCCTTACACTATCTTCATATTTTTAAATTATTTTTTCTTTTTGCTCTTCTGGTTGGGTGTTTTTTGCTTCCTTGTATTTCAAATAATTGATTTGATTCTCAGGATCCTCTGGTCTACTGTTGAATCTCTGTATATTATTCTTTATTTCAATCAGTGTATGCTTAATTTCTGACTGGTCCTTTTCCATTTTTTTTTTTTTTGCATTCTCACTAAGATCCTTGAAAGTCTCACTAAGTTCCTCAGAGGTTTCTAGAAGATTCTTAAGTAACCTTATAAATGTGGTTTTGAACTCTATATCCAGTAGTTTGCTTTCTTCCATTTCTTTCATTTGTGACATGTTTCTTTGTCTCTGCATTTTGGCTGCTCCCCTGTGTTTGTTTCTATGTATTGGGTAGTTGCTAAGTCTCCTTGAGTTGATAGAGTGGCCTTGTGTAGTAGGTGTCCTATAGGGCCCAGTGGCTCAGCCTCCCCAGTCACCTGAGGTGGCCACCCTTGGTGTACCCCTTTGTGGGCTGTGTGCACAGTTTTGTTGTAGTTGAGCCTTGATTGCTGTTGCTGTCACTGGGAAGACTTGACCTCCAGGCCAATTGGCTGTAGGGACCAGCTGTGACTACAGTGGGAGGGCTACTGTGCAGGAGACACCCTTATGGAGAAGGACTTGCTTCAGTGGGGCTTTGGTACTCACTCAGTCTGCCCCTTGAGTGTGTCACTTATGGATGTGTAGAGTTGTAATCTGGTATGGTCTGACACTGACCACTGGTTACACTGGCTCTTGGGTCTCCAGGGAGGTGCAAAGTCAGCCACTGCCTGAGTCCATCCAGCAGGAGCTACAGAGAGATCTGCAGATTCATCCTCTTTGTATTGGGTTTGGAAGTGACCAGATGAGACCCAGCTGTGAAGCAAGGCAGGCTAGTGCTGGTGACAGTTCTTGGGCCTTTTATTGATAGGTTTGGGGCTCCCTGACCCAGCTGCAGCTTGTTTGACAGAGTTTTAGCCTGAGAAAGGACAGAGCATTCATATGCAAAAGCTGATGCGCACAGCTTGGGTGGGGTTGTAAACTGGATGAGATGGGGTCTCAGGGAATCACCAGGGAGGAGCAAACAGAAATGGCTGCCAGTTAGTCCTGCGACTGGGAGGTCCCAGCACAGGAACAATGACCACTGCGAGCACCTCCGTCTGAAAGAAAGCTGCCCCCAAGTTCTTGCCCTGATGCCAGACAGTCCAGTTTCTTCCTGTATGTATCTAGGTCCCGCAGAGCCTCACCTGGACTGGGGGTCTGGTGTGGGGCTGGGACTCCTTACTCCTCCAGGTGGCCTCCAAAGAGGCGATCCCCCTCCTGATTAAAAAAGCGGCACATCCAGGTGCTGGACCAGCCTGATCTGCACCTCCACACCTCCCACCAGTCTCAATGAGCTTTCTTCTTTACCTCTCTAGTGGTAGTACTTCCACTCAGCCAGCTTTCCCATGGTTCTGGATAATAGTTGTTCTGTATTTTAGTTGTAATTTTGATGTGGTGTGGGAGGCAGCAAGTACAGGCGTTTACCTATGCTGCCATCTTCTCAGCTATGTACATCTTATCAAACGAAGATGGTTAGATGATTCCCAGGTGATTTTGAAATTTTGGATCTAAAGTGGCTGTATCCATCATTCCACTCATTGGGTACCTTCTTTATTTCCTTTCTAATGCAAGTATCTAATCCATCCAAAAAATGACATACAGGATAATTTCACTATACAGAATCTCTCTAGATCCTTGAATATTCTATATACATCAGTCAATTATTTTAATTTTTATGCATCAGAAATGGCTCTCAGTACTGACTTAGACATCATGGCTCCCCCCCCCCCCCCCGCCGTAACTTATCTATCCTGTGACTCATCCCAAAGGATTAAATAGCCACAGAGATACTTCTTCTCTCTCTAAAAATCAATTTAAAAAATCTTAACACACACACACACACACACACACAAGAAACAACAACAGAAACTATAGATGCCTTGACTGGAAGGAGTGGATACCATGGGCATTTTATTGGTAATGCCAGTGAGAGCAATATGTTGGGGCCAGGAGGGCATTTGGTGTCTTCAAATCAAATCACACAAGAACAAAATTACATTAAAGAGTTTGGATTTTATCCTCAATGGTGTGCCTCCCAACTGAAATGTGAAGTGACATAATCATATTTGAATTTTAGAAAGGTCACTCTGGATTGTATGGAAGCAGGACAGGAGGCAGGGGAAGTAGGAGGGGTGCAGAAGTCCAAGAGCTAGGACAGAGGCAATGAGGACAGAGGGAGGAGGCGGGTTTAGGAGTTAGGATCCATAGGCCACGATAGCAACTTAATGCAGTGGGTGAGGGGGAAGGAGAAGTCGAGGATGACACTCAGGATGCAGATCTGGAAAGCAGGGTGGCTGATTGTATCCCTCACAATAGCAAAGGCAGGGAGAGAAGCAGGTTTTGGAGGAAAGATGATGAGCTCCATTTTGGATGTACGGGGTTCGAGGTGCTTTGAGGTACCCATCTGGAGGGTGCAGGAGTCTTGGAGCGTGGGAGAAGAGATGTCATTTCTCTTAGAGACGTCCCCACCATAGAAGTGGTGGTTGAAGCCATGGGAATCAATAGGATCAGCGACAGCAGGCAGGCAGCAGAGGATGCAGGTGGACACACTGGCTGAGCCCTGCTGATGTCAGCTCTCTGGTTTGCAGCTTCCTTGATCTATTTAGTTTCTTAGGAGAACCACTCCTAATGTCGGGAAAGTGGTCAGTCATCGGGCCACATGCCCACATCTCAGCTGGATCTCATGCGGATTAAAGATGCCATATAGTCCTCTCATCTAGAGATGGGGTCCCCCCCTTCCCCTCACTTCTTACATCTCGGTGGGCTCCGTGACTGCCCAACCAACCCAGTATGTGGAAGGGACCACGTCCAGGCATTGGAAGAGCGGCAGCTTCTGATCTCTGTCTCTCCAAGGACGTGCTCTTGGCTTCCATGGAAGGTCTGACTACCCTGATGGACAGACCTTGGAGGGGCCTCCAGGCAGCAGGCAGCAGGACAGAGACCCTGCTGGGCCGGCCTCCCCGAGGTTCCACCAGGGCCACGTGAGTGCAGCTGCCGCACACCCTCCAAAGCAGCCACCAACCGAGGACCCCGGTATGACCCCTATGGCCCCAGGGTAACCCCTGTGGCCCCAGTATGACCCCTATGGCTCCAGGGTAACCCCTATGGCCCCAGTATGACCCCTATGGCCCCAGGGTAACCCCTATGGCCCCAGTATGACCCCTATGGCCCCAGGGTAACCCCTATGGCCCCAGTATGACCCCTATGGCCCCAGGGTAACCCCTATGGCCCCAGTGTAACCCCTATGGCCCCAGGGTAACCTCTATGGCCCCACTATGACCCCTATGGTCCCAGCAGCACCACATGGAGCAGGAGAACCGCTCAGCTGAGCTCCACTAAATTGTGAGAGACAATGAAATGTTTGTTGTCTGAAGTCACTGAGTCATAGGGTTGTTTACTCAGCAGGAGAGAATTGGAACAGTTGTTTGTGCCACCTCCCGCCCCAACCCAACTTTGTAAAACACGATGTTTTTGATTGAGTGTTCTGTTAAGCCCAAGGGACTTATACTCGGGACTGAAGCCTGTGTCTTCATCATTAAGTCGGCGGTGATATCCTGCCATGCCTTCTTCTCAGAATTATTTTAGGGCTCAAGTGAGATAGTATATGTGAGTGTACTTCATAAATTATAAAGCACTCTAGAAATCTCTACAAATATAGATGCATTTAAACAGAATTGCAAAGCACTCTACAAATACAGTTTAAATAGAATTTTATTGTAAAAAAGTTTTAAACCGATATTACAATTTTAAAAACAGTGTTAAATATACAATGTTAATTAGTATACCTACAATTTTAAATTACATTAAGATCAATTAGAATTACTCTGACTCTCCATAAATTAATTTGGAAGCTATTTATCAGTTCTCCTGCTTAGTTAGTATTTTGATTCCTTGTAAAAGGATGGAATTTAATTTTCTCCTCTTCTTTCACCTTGTGTTGGTCTAAAAAGAGCCTTATGTTCTTGAGCAGATTTATTTTGGTTGAGAACAAGGAGTACAATTGGATCCAAATTAATAAGGTAGGTACAGGTGTCCTCAGCCGACTACCTTTCAAACATTGGTCACATTACCTCTGTGGTAAACTGAATCTTCTGGTGATCTGGTACCAGTTTTCTTCAGGGCAATTGAATTAATTTGTGTAGTTTAAACGAACACGAATCTTGTAATTTTTCTATCACAACGCCTTTGAAAAAGTGATGGATGGAGAGATCAAATTGAATTGTGATCCTTAATAGAATCACGGGGAGGGACACTTTCCCGCGT